TGGCATTCATCTCAAGTGGTATGAAGTCCCCATCCATCAGAGTGTTTTAGTCAAAGTGGACTCAACAGAACTATACTTTTTATTTACTTTATATTAATGCTGACAGTTGTAACTTCAGTGAAATAACTGTGTGTGCAAGCAACTTGATCTTCAATAAGCACATCATAAAACTCTGCATCTATGTAAGATGTTTACATGATATAGCTTATAATATGCTTGTTAAGTAGTTTAATAAACCATACAACGCACAAACAGTACTGACAGCCATCCACCAGAAGACAAGAGACTTAGTATTCTATATGAATTCTCCATAAATAGAGGGAAGTTGTTGGCCTGTCTCAAACAAGTGACTCTGATAGTTGTTATCTGTGCCAGCTCCCAAATCTCAAATATACGTAGAGGGGTAGAATTTCTGTGAACTCCGATTCTGTGAAACTAGCTCTCTGTCCTGTCAACTCACCGTAACAACTTTCTTCTTGATAGTAGGAATACGCTGGGCATATGTATACATCAACTGATCAGAGTCAATCCAGACTAGGTTTTTAACACCATCGTTAGAGGCGAACTCTGTTGTATTTAACTGGAATACCAAGAATTGGAAAACGCGACCATCTGTGCCAATGCTTTGCACTACTATTGGTTGTTCTAAAACCCTGGGCTCATCCTAAGAGAAGCAGGGGGGGGGGGGGAAAAAAGCCAGTTACAACAAATTCCATGAGAAGATGCAGAATCAGCAGTTACCATTTGGGTTTAAGCCAGGCGTTTAATAAAGGTATTACCTTGCCCAGAAAGCTACCCTAGTCAAACAAGTTTTGAATGTAGATTTTGTATCTTAATTAAAATAATGTCTCCTTCAAATGGCATTAGAATATAGATGTAAACAACACATCTCAGCATACTCGTTTCTTATTCATGCCTGCAAGTTGCTTCAACTGATTTCTACCTACTGCTAGTCCAATTTTAATCATCTTCATAAACACATTAAAATAATTGCTATTGGCATAACGAGGTGGCTTTCTGATTTGGTGAACTGCTTGGATAGCTAAACACATCTTTAAAGATTACCTATAAAACTCTGAAGTCCTTGGATAGGTGACATCAGGGCAGAGTTTAAGATATGGTGACAAGGAACCATTAATGGCATTGCAAGTCTCTTGCTTATTAGGTCACCGGTTCAAATTCAACCTAGGTCAACTGTGACTGAAAATTATTACCATCTAGTGGAACCTACGGAGTGAGCCAGAAATCTCAAATGTAAAGCTGCCCCAAGAGCAGGTCCAGGCTACCTGCAGATAGATTCTTAAAGATTTCAGGTAGGAGGACAAAAAGTAACAATACCCCACTCCTACCAGCACTGATAATTCTTGGGTAAGGGCAAGACTTATTGGGGGAAGGTCCCATCACCGTCTTTACTGAAGACCAGCCTCTAATATCTTCTGTCTTCGTACAGAGTAAAACTGCATGGAATTCAATAATTCCATCTCCTGGGCCAATTATGAGACCATTACACCATTTCTCAATTTTGGAAGAGATGGGGAAGAGTTATTATTGAAAGCAAACTCATTGCTGTTGGTGTGCAAGATGACTGACTTCAACCATTGACTGACAACTCAGCACAGTGACCTCTGTGAAAGTAGTGAAACCCGACTTGTTAACAGCAGCCACTTAAAATACGTACCCCATACAGAAGCCTGGCCTTTGCTAATGCATTGCCAAAAGCAAACATCAACATTTTAGCCCGGAGCGGTTCTGGTCTAAAGCGAAGAGGACGAAGGTTGTTTGATTCCATAAAGTACAAAGTGTGAGGGTGAGGATAAGGATAATCCTTCCTAAAACCTAAATTGTAGACAACCACATGAGATACAGATAGTGTTAGGTATAATCTTAGCCCATATTAACTTTCAATCTTCAGAAACTGCTAGTGTAACTTGGATGAATTAAAGTTTTCCCCTACAGCATGAAAAGTCTAAGAACCTGACTACCCCTGAAAGACGGATGGTTATTTATATTTGTGCATCCTACAACCATCTTCCCCATTTCCTTACACCACATACGAACAGAAAGCAGAGTGCTGCCAGTTAAGCTGATGTAAAACCATTACATAATTGATAAGCAAATTGTACCTGTATCATTTTTTTCTTCATATACATTAACATCCTGCAGATCAACTGTAGGCAAGATGGGATAGAAGGTCTCAAGAGTGTCGTTTTCAGTGGCTAATATTTCATCTTTGGAGGCTACTGGCTGTATTGGATTCATGGCATTCAAAAGCACTCCATTCAAGCCGCGAACCTGAAGAAGAACAGATTCTGTAAAGAAGGAACAGCATTCAGAACAGTAGCCACATATAGTACAAGTCATTAAATTACACATAAAACTAGCTAAAACAGGGGAAGGCAACCCTGGGACAGCTACCAGAATGTAGCATGCAAAGGCATTTTGCTTGGCATGTGTACCTCGGGGAGCATGGTGGGAAAGGGGCCAGGGCTGTGCTGCCACAAAGATTGCCATCCATTCCTGACACACCAACACTTTAAGTCAACGTTGAGGGTGTTTTTGGCTCTGCCCAAAAATGCTGCCAAACCTGAGCTAAAGAAACTTCCGGTTTTATTTAGGTCATTAATGCACACGAACTCCACAATAAAACATTAGTTTTTATTCTTTACTACTTTAGTGATTTTACCACAAAGAGACATCCAAAGCAAAAAGTTCCTAAAGCTTCAGTTCTGAAAGGTTTCAAACACTATCCAGTGGTCAGCCAAGGGCTTGATTTTTCCATAGAGATCCATGAGGGACAAGA